ATATTACTGAAGCTACATGTTGCTTTAACATGCTGTTGCATGTCCTACACTCAGTCATGTGCTCTCCTGCAACACACGTATTAATCCACAGCTGAAAGTAGTTCCATCAAACTAATAATTATTTACAGAGATACAAATCTGTTTACAGCCTTTGTCGTGTGTTTAATCCTTTATTAAAAAGCAGAAGGTGCAATTAAGATAGAACAGAGGTGTACAGATTCATTTACACATGAGTTTGTTTCATGGAAGGTTTCAGTATAGCCTGCAGCACTCACATGCTGATGGCTTTATATTAAATACAAATAATACTTCTAAAACTAAAACTTCTCTTAAACAGACTTCACGTGAAACTCTTACAGGCACCTTTTGGGTATTAACTGTCCTCACCTCCTCCTCTTCTACGCCACCATCCGTAGCCGTTGCCATCTCCTCACCACTCCTCCTGGGGTCTCTCTGGTCTCGGCTGGTGGCCACTTGCTCCGCCGCCCACTCCCTTAGCACTTCGTCTAGGTTGAAGCGGCGCCGGTAGCTCACGAAGAACGAGCTCACCTGAGCAAGCCGGGGAGAGATGGAGAGTTGGCGAGGAAGAGAATGAGGACAAAGTGATGCCGATCTCAAGGACACAGAGGCGGACGTTAGAGGGGAGAAGACAAATGAAAGCAGGGATGATGGAGATTACAGAGATCCTATAGGGGAAACCGTTAAGCAGAGGATGAAAGGGAAAATGGAAAAGAGATGAAAAGCTGATAGGCAGCTCGCTCAAGTGCACTGCTGGGTGAGGTCAGAATAAGACGAGAGGTGGTCTTCACACACTTTCAACATGTGAGAAAGAGGAAGCTCACCTGAGCCGGAGTCTTAGTCCCGATCACTTCAGCGATGGCGGTGAAGTCTTTACCATAACGCCGGATAGCTGGAAAAGAGAAGTCGGGTTAATGTCCTGCCTGTACCAAGCAGCATATATCAATCAAAAGCAACAGAGTCAGCTAGCTTCCTCTCGCTCAGTGAGGGGTGTGTGGCAGAGGATGTGAGAGGAGGGACAGGAAGAGTCACGTATGGTGAGCATGTTTACAGTTAACCTCCATCTGAGCTCAGCTGGCTCAGTGCACCTGCTCTTTTCCCGCCCTGACCTGCTTCACTGCGCACTTTCAGGGTTTTTGTTTTGTTTTTTCTGTTGGAGCAGCTGTACTACATGGAGGTACAGGCTTTGCTCAAAGGCACACGGGCTGCAGCTGCTAATTTTACCTTCCACTTTTGTGGCTGATACGCTCCTAACAACTTCAGCCTTTTCTCACTAATTCTGATTTTCTCTCCTCGTGCTCGCTTTTAAAGCTGAAATAATGCACACGTACATGAACAGACCTGAGGTTTACGGCGCTTTCCAGTCCAACTGCACTCTGTAGCTCCATCGTGTCATGAAAAACTGAAACAAACAGGGCTCTCCCCCTATAGACTGTATACTGGTGATGGGAGTTAAACGTCAGAACTGAGTAGATTAGAAGTGCCTTAAATTCATTCTGTCTAATGACCAGCAGGGGGACTCATCTATGGGCAAAAAAGGCAGAGGTATACTGGGAAACAGTCCCTGGTTCCCTTGCGCTTTGACCTCAGTGAGCACTTTCTTAATGAGTTTCTGAGCTCAAATGCTCGTTTCATACCAAATAAAATGACATTAATTTTGTAAGTTATGGTCTCCATCAAGGACAAAACTATAGATTAATTAGGACAACCATTCCCAAAGTCAAGAGTGGTGCAGCCCAGTTAAAAACCAGAAATTCCCACTAGGCCCACCCAATCCTAAATCTTCATGCTAATCAAAATACAAAACAGAAGTGAAGCATTTCCTAAGAAATTTGATCCAAAATCAAACAGTGCAGGCGGTTGGCTATACATGGCTAATATTATTATATTACATGCAAAGTGTTGAGGTCAATGTGTGAGCCTCCTGTTACTGGGACAAAGACTTCAACACAAGGGTAGAGTAATGAGTAATATCACAACCCAACTACCTCCTAATACCACTAATTTCAAATTGAATTTCTGTTATGACTGCGATCCACCAGGGGGCCTCGGCCCTCACTTTGGGAATGAGCTAATGATAAGTTTTTGTAAGTGCTTCACTCACAGTCAGATCACCCCATACTCATGTCTGTCTTCAAAAGAACTAATATAATGAGGGCAAATACACCCGGAGGCTTCACAATAGGACTTTGTCTCTTTTCATGTCAAAATAAAAAAAATCTCTCTTTTAGGGGCAAAATTAAGCTTTCTAAACATTACCATCCCTGAAGACAAAAACTCCCACCAGCATCAGCCCACTGCAAAATATCCAAAAGTAGCTCCTGGAGAAGTAATCGAGGAGCTTGTACCGTACCAACACATGAGTACAGGCAGCTCCTGTGTGTGCAGAATATCAATATGAATGTCTAATAAGACATCTGGCTGTGAATGGGAGGCAGGTAGAGGAGAGCTGACAACGAGAGGTGCCTCTTGGAGGGGGAGGAAGAGGAAGCTACAGCCTTTACTCACCCTGCACTGCAAGGAGCTGCTCCTCTGTGGACCAACGAGAGTTCATCTTAGGGGCAGGCTAGGAGAGAAAGAACTAGAGATTAGAATAAGAGGTAGGTAGGTGGTAGGAAATAAGGGGGGGAGAGAGGGAGGAAGATGGCATTAAGAGAGCAATGAGCAGGTTAAGACTAGAGTCAGTCCCACGAGGGGTGAAATACTGTCTGGAGGGAGTTGAGGAAGGGCAGCGTGAATAGATGAGCAAAGGAACAAACTGGAGCGAGATCAGGGGAGGAGAAAATTGAATACAAGCAAGAAATGAGGCAGTAAATAAGGGATATGGAAAGGAGGGAAAGGGCATAGAGAGGGGAGTTTCAAGACTTACGTCTGTAGGTCTGGAGCCATCAACACCTTCAGCTAGGCTCTGCTTAAAACTGCTGTTGTTCTGTTTGATAGACTGGACCTGAGACAGGAGCGACAGTGAGGTAGGGTTATTTTTTAGCTGGTAGCACCGAGTGGTAGTTTTCGCAGCTAAAATCTGCTTTGAGAACATTCATGTGCATTTACTCTTTGCATTTATAATCTGATGACCAAAGACATTACATCCACACTGAAAACCCTGGTACCTGTCTCTTGAGTGAAACCAGCTGTGTGTCCAGCTGGCGAATGGTTAGAACTCCAGCATCGTGAGAGGCCGACAGAGACATGATGTCCGCCTGCTCCAGGTGCATGCCTTTGGGTGGCCTGCGGCGGGCTCTGAGCGGGTGGTGTCTGTACTGAGCTCCGATGTTCTCCTTCTTCACTGGACCGGAGCGGCTGGGCGTGGCTTTGTCAGAGCTGGTGCTGCTCGCGTTCTGTTTTGCCGCCTGTGTGCACATCGAATCGCAAATATCATTCAAGTGTCAAGGCAGCTCGGTCCTCACCTCACAGAAGTTGTTTCTCTGAATGTGCACACACACTTTCTCACCTCTTTCTTGGCATCAATTTCAAAATCACTGTCACTGGCCTGCTCTCCTTCTTCAATCTCATCATTACTGCAAGACAAAAAACATAAATAAATTACACAAAGCACACCAGTGTTTAAACTTTGTGCTGTTTTATTGTTAAAATTTCATCAAACACACGTCTGAAATGCTCTAAAATGTCAGCTGAAAAGACAAGAAATAATATCAGCCTGTCTTATTTATATTCATGAGCCTAGTTTCCCAGGATGCCGCGCTCACTGAGTGTCATTTAACAAAAAAGTTCTCCAAATGTCAGATCTCAGGTGAGCAGTTGTTTCTCCACGATTGGTGACGGCATCTCAAACCTGTCATCTTTCTCTCTCTTGTTGATCAGCCTCCTGGCCTGTCGGTCCATGACTGATGTCCTGGTTCTGGTCTTCTTCCAGCTGTAGTAGTACTTTACCAGGCTGGAGATCAGCTTGTCTGGAAGCTACAAACACGAAAAAAAAAGAAAATTTACTTTTCATCACTTGGTTTAAATATTTAGGATGGTAAGTGCATGTGTGTCTCTCTCAGGCACGCACCATCTGCTGGATGCGGTGGAAGCTCTTGCCGTGGAAGCTGAAGGCTTGCTCGAACAGCACTTTATCTTCAACTGTCCACTCATCTGGGAAGGGGGTGAAGTTTGCCAGGTCAGCCAGCGAGCGCTCCACGTCGTGTTTGTGCCATAATAACATCCCCAGAGCCTGATGGAGCCAAAAGTCAGGAAACCAGGAAAAGTTTAGGTCAGAAGACAGAAATATAAACATCTGAGCTTTTGTTTCTGATGCACTGCCCTTACCTGCTCCATGTTGTATCCGTGTTTCTCCTTAGCCATGAGGATGTACTCGTCCACTGGAAGAAGACAGAAACACCCAGAAAAATTGTTAAAATAATACATAATAATCTAAAGATGGTGAAGGAGAATGAAGAGAAGACTAAAAAAATTAATAGGTTTCTCTCCGTTTTCTGTTTAATAACAGAAAACAGAGAGATGAAGAGGAAAAGGGTAAGAGAGAGAAAGAACATAAGTGCACAGGAAGAGACAGTCGAGAGTTTTAATTGCCACCCTCCAGTCAGCGTATATCCATTAAACTGAAGGTCAAGTTTTTTAGCTCGCACACATGAATAAAAGGTAAGGCAGGTGTGTGGAGCTTACACATAGCATCAGAGAGCTGGCTGTTGGGACACCAGACCAACATGCTCCTCTGGTCCTTCTCACTGTAGCGGGCCGGGCTGTCTGAAAATGGAAACAAATAACACAAAGCGAACACTTAAATCCACACTTTGAGGTTATACATATTTGTCAGTCCCTCTTTTACTCGTTCATGTCACCTCCATGTCCCTCCTATCCACCACTTAAGCTCTCTCAATCCCCAGCATCTCTCTTTTCTTATCCATCTATCCATCTTTGCATGTTTCCATCTGGCTAAAGCTGCCTCTTCATCAGCTGAACTCTTTTGGAAGTCAACATTTGTGCACTCAGTAAAACAGATTATGCTGTTTTGCCTGCTTGTCCCCTTCTTTGGTACAAGCTGTTGAAGCATGCTGCCGCTCCTCCATAAAGGTTATGACGACTGTTTTCTCAGCATCAAAACATTTTTCATCTACTCAAGCAAAGCAACAGGGCTCTTTCATGGAGGACACTTAATGTTTTTGAACCTTTTGATTTTGCATTCAATAACACTAAAACGCTGACAAATAAGCGTCACTCTGACGTCTGCATTACTGGACAAAGATGAAAACAGCTCCTCATTTTCCCCTCCAGCCTTCTTTTCATTTTCCTGTTTTTTGTTCTATTGCAAAATGACTCTTTTTGACCTTCATCCTCTACTAATCTGCATTCATCCGTAGTCTCCTCCACATTTCTCTTCAACCTCTGTGTCTCCTTCCAACAGGAGACACAGAGGTTATTCCCTCCCTCTCTCTCTCTATCGTCAATTTTAATGCCCTCTGTCGTCTCCTTTTGTTGTGCTTTTCTCCCTCCCAGCTTACCTGGTTTGAACTCTGGGATCTGAGCCTGGTAGTCTCCTCCCACTCTGATCATGCTGTCTGCAGAGACAAGCGTACATAAGTTTATATTTCAAGAGCTGCAATGCCGGGCAAAAACATTTGTGTAACACACCAGAAAAGGGTCCAAGTTGCAAAACTAAACAAAGTGGATCACACCACAGTAACAAGTGAGGTGTTAAGAGAAAAATAAAATCAATAAAATAGTCATATTGGAGGAGTTTAGATATCTCGGGGTCTTGTTCACGACTGAGGGGAGTATGAGATTGACACATGAATCTGGGCCACAAGTGTAATGATGCAGACTGCACCGGTCCTTTGTGGTGAAGAGAAGACCTGAACATAAATGCAAACCTCTTGATTTACTGGCCAATCTACGTCGCTACTCCCACCTATGGTCACGAGCTCTGGGTATTGACCAAAAGAATGAGATCACAGATACAAACGGTGGAAATGAGCTTTATGTAAAGGATGGCTGGGCTCTCCCTTACAGGAGGAGCTCAGTCATTGGAGAGTGCTTCAGGTATCTCACAAAAAAGCCCCCAAGGCAAAGGGGCCAAAAACAAAGCAGTCGTCACTAAAACTTCAAACTAGCATCTGTAACTATAAATTAATTCAGAACGCGTTTACTGAGGAATCTGAACTTCTCTTTTCGCATAAACGTCCATACAACCAGGTGTCTTTTTGGCATAGAAGTGTCACCCCCCCTTCAGAGCAGTAGAAAGAATTCATTCAGGCATTTTTGTATTTGTTTCATTTTTTAGACACACAGGCTAAATCTAACTTTTAAATATAGTCTTAATGTTCAAAACAAACCAATTTGTTTTTAAATGCATCTATTGTTTATTTTATTATGTATTAATCTATTGGTACATAATAAGGTCAGCTACATATTTTCTAATTACCCATAAGAACAAAACTGTACAACATTTGTAAAAATACAGTAAAAAAACAAGAGGGGGAAAACACTGGTATATGAAGAAAACATTTAAATAAAGAAAAACTTCCATGTACAACTTCCATTAATAAATAAATAAAAACAATAAATAAGATAATTCAGAAATGCTATTTAACATTTTGATATTGTTCACCACCCGACAAAGACGAGCGGGTAGAGCATCGATGGATGGCAGACATCAGATAATTACTGCTGCGGTAAAGCTAGCAGGAAACCAGGAAGCTGGAGAATGTGGAAAGCGAGGAGTGAAGAGAGACTGTGAGAAATGCAGGGAAGCAAACCTGAAGAAGGAAGAGACAGATTACAGGTTCCTCTGGGACAGAGGACAGGAAGGGAGGAGAAGGGGATGATAGAAACATGAGCAGATGGGTGAAATGAATGGAGCCAGAAGGAGCATGATAAAGAAGAAGGATGCTTGATCGAAGGAACAGAGAAGGGAAGAAAGGTAACAGAGGATAACTAGTTGTGTAAAACTGCCATTTCTCATCTTAAAATGGGCTCCTCAAAGAGCAACAGGAAGTCAGTGGGTGAAGGAGAGAATGGAGGAAGGAGAGACGTATGTGGGCAGAGGACAAGGATGAAGAGAGGGGATGACAGAGAGCACTGCAGCAATGCAATGCATGCAACAGGAACAGCTGGCAGGAAAATGCCTGCAAGTATCAGATGTAGGTACACTTTGTAATGCTCCATGTTAGAACGTTTACTGTGATATCTGATAAATCAAACACTATAACGAAAAGTGTGTACGTGTGTACCGTGAGCATGCTCTTCATCGCTGCTCTCCTCCTCAGAGTGTGGCTGGCTATTCCCGTTGGTTACGGTTTTGGCTCTGCTCCTGGACAGGACCCCAGCCCCCGAGCGCTCCATCACTGAGGGCATGACTGCACACACACAGACACACACACACATAACATGTCACTAGTTAAAAATGCACCATTCATCAACATTTCTGCCCTAAGCGATTCAATCTCCTATTAAACTATGAGTTATGCCTTGTCTCATTAGTGCACTGGCTGCTATTTGTTTCCACTTGCAACCCTATAAAAACCAACTCACGCTTGTAAAGTAAAATGGGCCCTTATGTTGCTACCTTGGAGGGAATCCCATTATCTACCTGGAGCTGAGTTTATTTTCCAAAAAACAGCTTTATATACAAGAACTCATTCAAGACCTCAACTACTTATGATTAAATCTCTAAATGCAAGTTTTCGGCTCAGGTTCTGACTTATCAAGAGCAAATCCTGACTAAATCAACAGGAACAACTTCATCTTCAACAAAAGAGCCAGACTGATTAACCGGAGTCTTCCTTTGTCGCTCCAGCTGATTAAAGATGTCTTCTTGTCTGGGTGGAGCAATACCCACAAACAAACAGAACAGAGGCCTATTTTACCCATTGTTTACAGTTCAAGTGACATGTCAACATCCCATTTTTTCCCAAATGAACATCTGTTATCTCACCGCAGTCGCTCTGTAAGAGCCATCAAGGACACGACACTGAGCTCTGGACCAAAATCTGACAATTTTTTTATGACACTCAAATAAATAACAATATTAAAGATAAATAATAATAAGTAATTGATCAAATCATTTTGATTACAGTTAACATAATCAAGTATTTCTCAGCTAAAAGTTTAACAAGTCACGTTTTTAGAGCCATTTACAAAACAAATCCTTTTAGAAAGTCAACTGTAAAACTCTGCCAAATCAAACATCCAGAGCTACCTGCTGTGTCAACACCTTGTGACAAAGAAGAAGCTGAAAGAAGCTTTCTTTAATCCAACAAATAACGATTAGATGAGTGAGTAATTAACTAGATGTGGTCCTACCTTTGTGTCTATGTAGAAAAAAAAGAAAAAGAAAAAAGGGTGAACCAAATTTTAGTTCAATACTGGCACAAAATACTGATATCAATACTGATCCTTTATTTGTTAGGCTGATAATAGCTGGTACCAATATTTTACATATTTGTTTATTTTTTTGTAACTTTTATGCATCTTACTTTTGTTACAAGGATGCAAATAGACATTTAAAAAACTGATTTGACACAACAAGTAAATATTATCCACCGAGATGCAAATTTTACTTTCCAATATACTATCAGTCAACAAGGCTGCTGTTGGCTGATACCAGTACACCACCCATCTGCTGGTGCAGAAAGGCGCTGGTTGCTCCAGTGCAAGTAATCACACATAAAGAGAAATCCATTACATGAGCCCCTCCAACAGCAAAGGCAAAGCAAAGGTAAAACCTGTTCAGTGGGGATCTACCTCAACATCAGTAAACAAAGAATATAATCGCTGATGAGAAGAAACAACTACAAACAAATAAATAAATAAGACCCTCCTCTAAGAGACGAAGTGTGATCCACAGCCATTGCTATACTATTACATGACATTTGTCGTCTTCTCGATGTCTCTACATCTCTGGGCCAATGAAATATTGCAGAAAGTAGCCTATCTAAACTCCTCCTTCCTCCTCAAGCGCAAACGATAAGAGCCCCTAAAACAATGACTGGCGACACCGGGACACCACGGGTCCCAGTGCAAACGCACGTTAAAAGGCGCGTGCTTTCATTCACCATCTCACCCCCAACTTCACTTGTCAACTTGAACCGCGGCCAGAACAAAGCATGGACTCAAAGTTGGGTGACCGATGTAGTACTGTACCCCCGCATACACATCACCACCACCGCACAACATACTGAGCCAGTCAAGACTCTGCGGGGAAACGAGTCGCAACCCTCACGATCCTCGAGATTATAAACCATACACACCAAACTCCGAGCAGACAATACAAGTGTCTGAAGCTCTCTGGTGGTCTTTGTCTATCGCTGTTCCCGGTGGCCTCCGAAACTACAGCTGCTGCCCCCCGTCCGGCTTCACTGGAAACATCGCCACCTTCAACACATCCCTTCGTCTTTGTCGATATACTCAAGTTTACTTATTTACAAGAGAACTGGCTGCGTGAGACCGCCCCGCTTCACTTTCAGCGAGTTTCGTGGTGGAAGGGGGTGGGGGGAGTGTTGTGGTAGCCTCTATCGCGGTAGCCTCAATCACTGGCAGATTTATCAACCGTTTCAAGAACGAGAGCTATAACTACAACATATTAACTAATAACCTCGACAGGGACGGGATACTCGTAGTAATACGTGATACTCAACTAGGCGATTACATGCAGGCTTTCCTGTTCTACAGCCTTTCCCCTCATATGACCAGATTTTTAAACTTTTCCTCACTTTAAACACAATATTCGGGCATCAGATATGCTTTGCACCATAGTGAACAATACCACGAGCAATTTGATCGTTTAGTTTTGGGTAATATGTCTAAAATCTATTTAGGTTCTTCACCGCAATTTTTAAGTGGGTAGTCTGATGATGAACACTTTTTGACTCTCAGTGGTAAAAGGAAAAACAATAGTACTCCTACAGTGACTAGACAGGTGCTCATGGCTCGCAAGAGTCAGCACAGGGTGACCTTAAAGCGGGGGGACATTACATGTTAAAGTTAACATTGTAATAGGCGGACTGTGTTTTATAAGCTGTTAAATCCTGAGATCCCACCACTAAAAAGAAAATAAAAAGAGATGACGGACTCGCACCGGGTGTTTCTCAAATTTGAGTCACGTTTACTAGCTTTAAAAAATCAATATTTTTAACAGCTTCATTGTACAGTCATCTGTACGCTGTGTCTCACTTTGAAGTCCTTTTGTTTTCCCCACGCGTACGCTGCTGTTACTACCAACGCTACTGTCTGCTGCTGCCCTGGAGTAAAAAAAAAAAAAAAACTCGCTCTTTATGTCATAATTGCCCAACTTGCCGGTATGTTTAGGGTCCTTAAACTAAAAATAGTAGCAATTTCCAAGGTCCAAGTCATTCCAAAAGGCTGGAAACTAGAAAATATATATACGACATCTCTCCTCATCACCAAAGTGCAATTTAAGTCTAGCCTAGTTGGTCGCTGGGATGCTAACGTTAGCTAGTTAGCTTGCGGCTAGTACCCTCGCGTTACATTAGTAACGCCAGTAGTTAGAAGTGGAGATAATAGTCACACTGTACCTGTGTTTCGTTTCTCACCGCTTCCCCGCAGCCAAAACTTCTCCGAGCCTCTGTCCGCAGCTTGCAGTCCCCTCCGAAGCGCTCAAAGGCAATTAGTGTGTCTAAAAAGCCTGAACTCTAGCCTAATTGATGAGCACAGTCACACTACAATGAGGAGAACTGCACGGATAGATGGAAGCTGTGAGTGTGTGAGTGTGTGTGTGCGCCGGGAGACGGACAACACCCGGAGAAAAGTGAGGTGGACATCCGCTTGGATGCGTTCGCCTCTCCCAAGCTTAGGAGCCGTTTGGATTGACAAGAAGTAGTCCCTTAACTATTAACTTTATCTCAGTCTTGGTTTTGGATTTTACCTTATGTGCCATGTGTGTGAATCGACTTTTAAGAGTGCTCACGTCAGTGCGTGATACTTAAAATCTTTGTCCTACAAATATTTTGCCTTATAAATATGCCTGCCTGATAATTCACGTCTTGATCGTTAATGGTCTTTAAATGGAAGAGAAACGTGTAGGTATTTCATTTTGTAAAACAATAGGTGTTAGAGAGTTTTAATCCGCTATCTATCAAAATCCCATAAATTAGGGACTACTTGTCAGTGTGTCGGCGGAGGGATTTAATGCATCTCTGTACTGAGGCAGGCTGTCCAGACTTGCTTGGTGGAGAAAAGGGCAGGAGCGGAGCACAATTGAAACGAGTGTTCGTGCGTGTGCGCGCGCGAGTACGTCAGTATGCGAACGTGTCTTCAGGCGCGTGCGTTACTTTGTGCATAAACTGACAGTGACTCAGATGAATAGCCTCAGTGTGCTCGTTTTTATTTATTTATTTAAAACAGAACAGTTCAAAGAGTTGCGACCTGGATGTGTTTGTGTGCACGAGCCTGTGCGCGTGTGAGTTCACAGGTGGATGAGTGTGTGTGTGTGAGCAGAATGGGGGATGTTTCAGTGTTAGCTTTAGCAGGAGCTCTCTCACCTGATGCTGGTAATAAACCCACTAACCTTCGCAGTAACACTCTCCCAGAAGCCACTGCTCTCGTCACCAGTGCCTGCTGCTGACATGTAACAGCCTGTTACAAACTCCTACAGCTCTTCTTTCTTTCTCTGTGGTATCACCACTTCCTCCTCCTCCTCTTCATCCTCTCACTTCTCACCTTATCTCCTCACTGCTACTCTCTCTCTCTTTTTCCATCTCCTTGTTTTTGCTCCTGTTTCTTCTTCACTACTTTACCCCCTTTCTCTCCTGCCTTCCTTCCTTCCTCCCCTCTCCCTCTTCCTTCCTAAATATCTGCCCTAATTCTCCTTCTCCTCCCCCCTCATCTCTTGTCTTCTCTCTGTGCCCCCTCCCTGTTTTTTCTCCTCCTTCCTCTCCCTTCCTCTCCCCCTTCCTCTCTCCATTTCCTCCCCTCTTCTGCTCTTCCACATCCTCCTCACCCCTTTACCTTCCAGTAATGACTCTTTTCCTGTCTTTCTCCCTTCCCCTCCTTCCTTCTCTTCAACCTCCTCCTTGCCCTCTTCCTCTCCCCTGTGTCTCCCTCTCATGTCGCTTGCAGTTTTCAACTCTGTGTGTGCGTACGTGCAAATTCTTCCCCTCCCCCATCAGTTTCGCTTCGCTCTTTTCTAACCCCCCCTCCCCTCCCCTGCTCCTCTTCTTCCTCCCTCCCTCTTCTTCCTCCCTCTCCAGTCTCATTTACACCCTTTCCACCTCCTCTACCCTCCTTTCCTCTCCCCTGGTGTCTCCCTTCCCTCCTTTCCTCTCATTAGTCAGTGTCCATAACTCACCCCTCCACTCCACTGTCTCTCCTCGTGCTCAGTCCTCCAGTCCCTAACACATCTTCACTAATGAACAACTGCTATATTTCTCCCCTCAGCCCTTCTCCCCTTACCCGTCCTCCCCCTTTTCTCTCTGTCCTTTCCTCTCCTCATCCTCAGTCCTCCCCTCCACTTGTCACTCCATCTCCCCCCACCACCCTCCCTCCT